TTGGTACATAAGGAATAAGGACTTACATAGGGATCTTAAGATCCCTGAAGTCACGGCGGAAATACAAAGATTTGCCGCCAAACACCAGGCTCGCCTCAGCCAGCACGAGAATGTGGAAGCGACCAAACTCTTACATAACCGAAACATGGTCAGAAGATTAAAAAGAACAAAGCCATTTGAACTTGTGTAGTTAAAAGTGAATAGAGAAATGTAAATCTTATTGTACCAATGGGTTTATAAGAATGTAAACATTTATTTATTCTATAATATTATTGTAAAATTAATGGTTGGTCTAATAAGACCAGTTTTAATAAATAAATTTAATTTAAAAAAAAATTTGTGGAGTACTTGATATTCTTCCATCAAGAATTTAATTCATTCCTTGTTAAATTTAAGGTCCCATACAACTGTTGTGTGCTTGGCTTCAAGTGGTTATACCCTTCTCACCGCAGGCTGTACTTCCTAGGCTTCTTCCTTTAACAAACAATATCTTCACACTCCCCTCATTATATATGTCATATGATCCCTAAACTTCAGGTCTCCAGTACACAACTGTCATACTCGTTCTACCTCTTCTGATCTCTAACCTCCTAAACACAGAACTACTTTCTGTCGTTCCTTCCTCATCCTTTCATTCCAGCCTCTGGATTTCACTTCCTCCTCTATCGGCCATGCCCTTCCCCTTACCAACTTTAAGACCTTAAAAACCTCAAACTAGCTGAATAAAAAAAAATGTTTTCATGTAGAATAAACAGGGAAACACCCTTGGCTCAAGGCGAGCTGTTATTTTTTATTAAAGTTTTACAATAAATTGTTGATCAATGCCTTAACTGGGAGTCTTGCTTTGGTCGAGAGCAAGAGAAACAACCGGTAATGAGAAAATTTTATAGTTGTATACCCCTCGTAAAAGTGTTTAGTGTATATTAACCGCAATTTGTAAAGCATCCTACAACCATTACTGGGAATGCGACGCTAAACATCTACTTAAGAATACTTTTTTTGTCGGGGCTCGCAGCAACACAGTCATAATATCAACCTCAGGGTGACGGGTTTTTTTTTAATTTTTTTTTAATTAATTTTTTTTTAAATTTTTTTTTACATTTGTGGAGTAGTTTATATTCTTCCATCAATAATTTAAATCATTCCTTGTGAAATTTATCTTATTCAAAGCTACTTAAATCTGTTAACATTTGTGAGCCTCTATTATCAGATTATGCTATCTAAGATGACTGTTCCTGTTAAATAATGTTTTGAAACAATTCTTGTTTAATGGGACAAAGCTTTAATGTTTATTTCTATTATTAGATATGAAAGCATATTCCAGTAAAGTTTTACAGAACTAACTAGGGCCGTCTGAAAATATTTCATATCATTCACAATTAAAATTACAATGTACTTCACTGAATATACTTTTGTTGAATACAAGTAATAAGGAAAAAAATAACAAACAAAAAAATTACAAGTACTATATAATAAAAAATCGACATTCAACATCAAAACAAAATGATTACATCATTCGTTGGACGAAATTGTGTTACTTTGTGCCATTTATCTGAATGATATAGCTTTCCTTCCACAAACTCGGCTTCTTCTTGTATTCATAGCATAGGCCAAGAGTTTCCAAAATTCCCGACTACGGGAAGCGCTTCCCTGTACAAGCAGAGAAATTGACAAAACCACCCTTCATGGGTTATAGTAACAAGCAGTAACTTTATTTAAGGCCAATTGCTCTTGTGACTTGCTCGTAAAGAGTCCACGCCATCGAAGCCACCAACGTCCTGCGGAGCATTCGAGGTGCCAGGCCCTTGAAGTAGCCCCTGCTTCCATATTGACGATGTAAGTGCAAAATAACTGACTGGATGTTTGGATACAAATGTGGGTAGAGTTGCATCTTGGTCTTGATCACATCGGCCGGCTGTGTGACAAGAGAGGCAAGGATGCCGGCAACCACTCCACAGCTAAACTGCACTGGTGCTTGATATTCATTTTTAAGAAGCTCTACAACAAAACAACAAAAAGAAAAGCTACATATAGATATAAATAAATCGTACTTCATACAATTAATGAGTTACAGTGTTGTTACTGTAACAAAATGCGACCTTTATCCCTCAATATTAAATTATAATCATTTTTTATTTTTAATAAAAAAATTCCATATGGATAAATTGATTTTTTGGGGGAGGATTGATACTTGCCCTGTTATTTGCAAAACAAAACGTTTTGAAGAGAAAAAAAATACTAACATATTGAAACTGAAATAAATATCAGCAAGCTTGACTTCTTTTTTTTTAAATTAGACCTGTAATCCTGAGGTAGTGTACAGAAATCAAGAACTTTCTAGACTCTTTTATTGTGTAAAGGGCAATGGCTCTCTAGAGGTGTGTCGGAATCCTACCTATCTGGCCATTCGGCTCTTGACACACCTCCTAATGAAAACAACCAAAACAGGTTGTTACTTCAAGGCCAAAGCACAAACCAGTTTGTTACAGAACAAATTTAAAGCGTCGACTGAAACACAGTTTTACCTGGATGCATTGCTTTTTTCAGCTGTGTGTAGAACATCAAGTATATGCCGGAGAAGGGTGCATCCCTCACCACCGTGGGGAACAGGCCGCAGGTCAAACCCCGCAAGCCTTCATGTTGGTAAATCAGGCGCAACGCATGGGTGATGCTCTTGTAAGGATATTCACCACTCTCGTACCGCGTCTTGACCACGGTAATTGGTATCAGGCAGACTGCGCTGAAAGTCCTTCCTACTATCCCGATGGCGACTGCCTGCAGGGGAGAAGGATGCCCGTCGGTGAAAGTACGGGTCATCCAGTGCATTGACGAAAAATACAATCCCACACCTGGTACTGTCCTCGTTATTGACTACAATCATTTAAAAAAAAGATATAATCTCACTCAGACTCGAATGCGATTCTTTAAACCCACCGGTGTCATCCCCTTCCATAACCCTGTAAATTGTTCCTTCTTCAAGATATTGTTCAGAACGTGGAACATGCCAGTCGAGTATGACACTCTCCTGAAATATAAAAACAAGGATCTCTTTACTACTCACTCGCTTACTACACAAAATATCGCCATTATGTTAATTACCGACATCACATTTTCAGCAATGCGATGTCAACATTTGCTTTTAATAAATCAAACATTAAACGTTTTTAAACACATTTAACCTTCGACTATTCTGATTTTGAAGTTCTTATTGTTAACCACTTGTACAACCTCGAATTTATTGACAATTTATAAACATTGAATCGATAACACTTTTTTTTTACTGAATAAATCTACAATTTAGTCAGTAATTTTACAGTAGTTCTTGATTTATTTGACAAGCACATCCAATAATTGATTTATTTCTTATCCATCTACTCATACATGCTTCTTTGTGTGCTTGTTTATAGCATGAAGAGTATTATTTCCATATATGAATCTTATCTTTAAAACATGAAAGTTTGATTGTTTATTTTAATTCTATTTCATTTAAAATTCTGTGTAAAATGATTAATGAAAGATTATGTAGTTCTAACCAGACCTAAGTTTAAATGATCTCATGTAGTTCTAACCAGACCCCCGTGGTGTAAATTATCTCAATGTGAAAAAAATTACAGTCTAATCTATAATCTAATCATCTTCATAATATAATTTACGTTAAATTATATGTTTAAAAAAATGTTTTTTCTAAAACCTACGTCACACCAGACCCCATCTCATGATCTCTGACCCTTCTTCTAACTACATACACACTGATGCACAAAATAAAAGCACCAACCTTAAATTTCAATGTATTTAGGTTTATCCATAGTTTGCGTATCAAAGATAGGTTTGGTTGTAAATATTACACATTTAAAAATAAAATATTTATTGTCTAATTCTAAAATAAAATTATTGAGTAAAGAAAAAAAATGAGAAAAAAAACTAGAAATTCAGAAACAAATAAAAATGTAAAAAGATTGTTTTATCCCCTTTAATACCGAGGTATTTCCATATCTGGTATGACACATCTGTTAAAAGCCTTTGTATTCCTTGTAAAAGATTTCTGATAAGATCCTGATGAATTCTTTCCCATTCATCAAGAACAGCCTTTCCAACTCTTCAAGGGTGTTAGAAACTGTGTTTCACCGTCGTACTCGTCACTTAAGTTGGTCCCAAATGTGCTCGATTGAGCTAAAATCTGGACTTCGAGTTGGCCATACCAAACACTCAATTCCAACTGCATTCAGGTAGTCATTTGTGCTCTATGGGGCTTAGCATTATCCTGCATTTGCAAGAACCTCTTACCAATGGGGGGGGGGGCAAATGACAGTACATGTTCTTCGAGTATGTCTTGGAAGTACCTCTGTGAAGTTCTTCCTCGAACAACCAATTAGGTGCGGGTGTCAAGGAAACCATCCCAACATCAAAGACACACTGTGGAATGCCACCTGAGAAATCATACAGCATGGAGAGTACCATTCTCCTGAGCATCTCCATATGAAATTACTGCCATCTGAAGATTGGAGGCGAACTCACTCCTCATCTGCAGAGAGAGCTTCCAATATACAATTCACATATTTCCATGCGAAAAGAAGCCTGGCCCGGAGGTTATTTTCATTGAGCCTTCTTCTTACTCTCCTGAAGGAAATTGAAACATTTCGGACTTGTCTTATCACATTTCCCATATCATATCCTACTATGATGCTGTTTTGTAGAACCTGATGACAGACGAATCAATCGTCTTTCTCATCTGTAGACCTATTACGGCCCTATCCCTAGTGTGAAGCCCTGTTTCTCTAAAACCCAATGAACCCTTCCTATCGTAGAGTGATGTACACTCAGTCTTTAGACAACTTTGCACTATATCCTTCCTTTAATAATTTTATGACGCTGACACTATCAGACTCACTCAAATGCCTGACTGGAGCCATTCAAAAAGGTTTAAAGTGAGAGTAATATCAAATGAAATCGACAAAAGAAAAAAATTAACTAAAAATGACTTTTAGGCATAGCAGAATGGAAGGGCATAATGCTACTTTTTTGTGCAAATGGGATTAATCAGTACAAAAGTAGAATAGTAGTAGAATAGTAGAATAGAATCAATAGAAAATCATGATGATGATGGTGGTGACGATGAAGGATCATTTAAGAATTAACAGACTGTACAAATTAAGTTGTTGCCCAGCTTTCCACATGTATGTCATCTTCATTTTCAGTTATAAATGTACAAGAAATTTAAATTGTCCGTTGACCCATTTTGTATAAAAGGAAAGTCATTTAAATTAATTTTCCCCTGAAAAAGCTAAGGTAAAAGCTTACTGGGTTTGAATATAATTGAAATTAAGGATTGGATTTCAAAGATAAAAAAAGTTGGCTTTTTAGCAACTCACCCAGTGCCGGAGAGGGCCGCATTTTGGTTTTGTAGCCTTGTTTTGACGAGGTCCAGCGGCTGGAAAAGTACCGTGGAGAAAGTTCCAGAGAGGGATCCGGCGAGAAAAGCTTTCAACAACGGCGACTGGAACAGAAAAAGCTCAAATTGAACAGATCGTCTCGGTCGAAAGGCGCATGTCGCGGACTCACGTCGAGTGAAAGGTTTTCGTATCGTCGTTCACTGTTAATCATCTGTCCACTTCAGTCGCAACGGGGGATTTTCTCTTGTTTCTAAGTCGAAATGGAAATTTAAAATACGACCGACGACGACTGGTTGACGAGTGACGACTTGACGTTTCTCGACCGGTCGAGGGGCCGACGAGTGGGGAAACCGGTCGCCGCGATTCGCCAACCACTCGCTCAATCGGCCCGAAGGCCGAAAGTCGATCACGCGATACAACTCCCACGCGAATCGGGATGTCGCCAATTGAATTCGTCGTCGTTCGACGTGGAACCGATTTGTTAACTGACAGAGCCTGATTGAACGATTCCCGGTTCTTTAATCGAGAGTCGTGATCCGATCGCCGCTCCTTTAACTGTTCATCGTTCATTCTTTCTACTTAGATTTCCCATCGTAACGTCGTACTGTCACGATGTGTTACGCGATTGGGACCGCGGTTCGTGTTCACATTTCCTTCGTTTATGGGCCAGATAAAAAATTTAACGTTTAATAACAAAAAAAAAAATTAAAAAAGAATCCATACCAGCTGGGGTACGACATCACCATGGATTTTCGCCAATTTTCTAACCATCCATTAAATTGTAAATGCATCTTTATTTATTTACCAGGGACTTCGTCCACGCTTGATTCTGTTTCAATGTAATAGTACATGGTAAAACATTGTCCATACGATCGACTTAAGGGATGGAATTGCTTGCGCTGTCTGTCTACTGTTTTATACACTGACAGGCAAAAAAATTGCAACCAACTGATTTTTTTTTTCATTTTCTCGATAAAAGAAAATTCTGACCTTAATTTGTCTCATTGTGTTTACCATAAAATATTTGTTTGTGACATGTTTTAAATTAGGAACGTCAATTAGATGATGTAAACACACTTAATTTACAGGATTTTTCAGCATTTACTTTTTAAAGAATTTAAAATTTTTCTTCAGTCTCATTTGAATTCTGAAGCAATAAACTGTTTAGGTTTCATCTTTGCTTTCTTAATTTCATTCTTTAAACTTGAATTACTGCCAAACCACAAACTCCTAAAAACCTAAAGAAAACTCCCACAAACGAAGGAAATGTAACACGAACCGCGGCCATGGTCGCGTAACATCATAACATTACGACGTTACGAGGGGAAAGTCTATAATTAGAAAGGCTGAACGATGAACAGTTAAAGGAGCGGCGATCGTGTCACGACTCGCGGTTAAAGAACCGGGAATCGTTCAATCAGGCTCTGTCGGTTAACGAATCGGTTCCACGTCGAACGACGACGACTCAATTGGCGACATCCCGATTCGCGTGGGAGTGTAACGAACGATGAACTACTTAACTTAGTGCTGAGGATGTTGCGCGTGGTGTGGCACTTATTGATGATGGACGTTCCGTCAGGTATGCGACTATTACCATCGGAGATCCCTACGAAACACTGCGAGACGCCGTTAGACGTTTTCGAGAAACTGGGTCCTACCATAAAAGGCCCGGTTCTTGACGCCCAAGGGTAACAGAACCACAGGATGGCCGTTTTTTGACTTTGAGAATTTTGTGAAACCGGCACCTTACTGTTGTTCAGGCGATTCATAAGTTCAAGGAAGTTCGAGGTGACCTAATTTCTGAACTCACTGCTCGAAGAAGATCAAATCAGTATGGACGATTGCTTTTCGCCCCATAGAGGACCAGAATTGACCAAAATACACAAAGTTTCACGGCTCGCATTTGCTCGAGAACACAGCCATTGATGATGGACGTTCCATCAGGTGTTCGGCTATTGCCATCTGAGTTCCCTACGAAACACTACGAGACACCGTTAGAACCTCAGGATGACCGTGTTATTTGGACGATTGGTACTGTACATTTTACAGATGAATGTAGATTTGCACTTGTGGGTGAAATTTGTTGCCCCTCAGTTTAATTAGACAATCATTCAATGGCATTATTTTTCGAATCGTTTACTGTTGTAATCGTTTGAATGAAAACTATTTGCAATTTTTCAATCAGGATCCGCCACAGATTTTGTATCTTCACTGAAAAACTGTAATTTTATCAGTCTTAGAAGGGTTAATCTCAGAGCAGATTTACACCCGACTTATTTCTAACGTGAAAAAAATTATGAGTAGAATTAAGTCGCTTACGAAAAAAAACTATTAATTGCCGCTTGATTATATGCTACTCCTAACGGTGTAAAATAGTGATGAATTCGTTTCTTAAATGTATTATGTTTCGTTGAAATGCTCTCCCCCTATCGTGATTTCTGAATGGCAGGGGGTCGACAGCTGAAGTCAGTACGTTTGGACCGGTATGTCTCGGTTTGTTGTCAGTGCTTACCTCGAAAGACATCCTTGAGTGTAATCCAATGGTGGTGAATTCGCTTGTGAAAGGCACTCCACTTTTAATGGACGATTCGGCGGTTTCGTTTCGCTTTTATACTCGGCCGGTTTATCGGGATCTGACCATCGGGGGTCATCGCGGGTAATGGTTTATCTCCCCGGAGAAGGCCCCCACAACCCCCAGCAAACAAGACGTCATTTCAGATAAAACCCGGCACGCTGACGACTGGAATCAATTCTTTTTTTTTTCATCTCTTTCGTCATTATAACAAGCACTTAACAAACTCCTAGGCTTTAAATTTTGTTAATACGTTTCTTTCTTTATACATCTGGGACCGACAATACTGCACGATAATACAGCACTTCTGGACACGCTCTCCGATTAAAGTGCATGCACTGATTTGTACAAAAATAAAACAAATCTTCATCGTACACACTAATTTACTGTAACAAAACACTTTGTTTTAATTCATGCTCTAATGGCCAATTAAGGTATGTATATTCAATATGATCATGTCTCTTTTGTTACGTTCGTCTCTGGTCGCTGAATTTCCCCCCCCCTTTTTTTAAATTTTTTTTAAATTTTTTTAAATCGTAAGATACCATCTATTGAGCGTTAAGGTCTTGAACCCTTTTGGTATAAAAAAAATCATACATCACCAACTGATAGGAATAATCAACATTAAAAAAAAGACTATTAATGTTGCCCAACTGCAATTAATTGTCAGAGGATGCTGTGAAATATTTCATTAGCAATGCTAACATACCTATTAACTTATTAAATTTACTAGTTTTCGTGGTCCGCTTGAGCAATTAATATCTTTCAATTAATTAAGGTTTTTAGTTGAGATAAAAAAGTCAGTGTCACGAGCGGTATTCGAACCCACGATCTTCGGCTAGATACGCCGCTGCTCTACCGCTTGAGCTATCGTGACCTCGATCCATTCGGACACTAACTTCCCCCAACTTTGAAAAAATGGCAAAAAAGGGGGGAAATTTCAAAGGTTTTGGGTTGAGATGGGAAGTTGGTGTCCGAGTGGATCGAGGTCACGATAGCTCAAGTGGTAGAGCAGCGGCGTATCTAGCCGAAGATCGTGGGTTCGAATACCGCTCGTGACACTGACTTTTTTATCTCAACTAAAAACCTTAATTAATAGCTATCAATTTTCTTTTAAAACTTAAACTTTAAACTGCACCCAATTGAATAGTAAAAATTAAAACATTTTAGTTCTCAATTCAGCTTGTTACTTTCAATACTGCAGATAAATTTTGAAATCGGAATTTGCAATGTTGGGAATTAGAAAGTATCGTAGTGTTTACATACTGGTCGGTAAACGGGTTTATCCAATCTTGTCCAGCCTTCTGAACCAAAGTCCCGTATGAAATCTTCAACCAGTAATATAACTCAAGGAAAACCGGGTTATTTTTACACTTTTCTTTTCTCTCGAACCTCGAGTAAGTGTTCTCTACTACATACACCTGGAATGTCAAGTGCATGCTAACTAATCAGATTTGGAGTTTTATAGATCTTGGCAGACAGTTTTTAAAAAAAGTTACAATTTTTTGTGTTGCTAAAAGCGTGTATAAGCGTCAGAAAGTGAAAATAAATTAACTGAAATTCATTTCCAATCCTCACTTTAAACTACATATTACAGTCTTCTTCGCCCTGACCCCAATTACCCAAACAGCGAAAATTACCCGGGTATATGCATAAGGCTTAATGCTAAAATCTGGGGTTTAAATGACCAATGTTGATATATGTGTCGGTGGTGCGGGAGATTAAGTTTGCAGGCTAAGGCGATTAAACGGCACTCAAAGTCAAGCTCACCTCAATTTCACTGGGAGGTCAACGCCAACTGCGGCCTTGGAGATGTTAAACCATCCACCTTTAGTCCAAGGAGAACAATGGAAGGAGGAGATACAGGCTTTACTTCAAAATATAACTTCACTAATAAGTACAAGGTACTCGCACCAGAAAACGAAGAGTATGCTAAAGGAACACCTTTGAAGGTCAACTCCTACTGGTATACCGACTACTCGAAAGAATAAAGGCAGGAGTTGGAGTCCTCGAGATGAATCCGAAGACCGAACTGACTTTAAACCTCGCTAAATACGCTATAATTTTCCAGTTCCAAATCGTAGCAATTGAACTCTGCGCCAGACAAAAAAGGCTAGGAAGACATTCCAGGAAGATAGCCATGTTTCCTAACAGTCGGGCGGTACTAAAGGCCTCATCCGAGGTAAAGACTAAAAGCGTATGGCATTGTATGGAAGCCCTGGCAGTGACACTAATTACCTGACCATTGGGTCCCTGGGCATAGAAGCAATGAGAAAGTGGACATTTTGACCAAAAAGGGACAAATATGAATTATCTAGGCTTCCAAACACTATTGCGTATTTATTGCGAAAAGCTCCATAGAATGTCCATCCGAAAGACTTACTAAGGAATTGCCGGACGGTAACCGAAGCAGAAACAGGATTCTGGTTGGGGGCACTACCGCCTAAGAAAGCACATGCACTAGATACGAGAATATAAATACGTTTTATGTTTAATAATAATGTGTGGTGTTTAGTGACCGTTAGTTGATGATTATTAAGAGGTCATGTGAGAGTGCGCTCAACACGGCAGACAAGAATGACACATCTACACAGAAAACAAACACTTTATGCCCTGAAGACGATCTCAATAAAGATCGAAATGTTGACACGATAAAGAAAATATTTTTCTAAAACCTACGTCACACCAGACCGCATCTCACGATCTCCAACTAATAATAATAATAGTACTTTATTTGATTATGATAAAATAATGAAATAACTACACAATAAGCACAGTACGGTATGGAAAATTCTATCTGCTAAATGAAAACATCAATAAAGCAGCAAAAGAACAGAGCAATACAAAAAGTGAAAGAAGGAGAAAAATTAAAGAACATAAAAATAAATCCAAAAAATAAAACAAATCAAGTCGTACCTCGTTATACATTAAATATTTAGCTCTTTAACACAAATATACCTATATTGCCATGCATGTCTGCAATATTTTACAAATGGGGTCGGGTCAGAGTTTACCCCAGCAAGTAGAGCCCAATCTTCTCTAGATAGGGAAATGCGGCCTACGTGAAGCATACGAATTTCATTAAAAAATGTGCATTCTGCTAAAAAATGGTTTTGTTCTTCAAAACATCAGAAG